AAAGCAAAAAAAGTAAAGAAATTAAATTTGATTTATATACAAAATAGTTTTTTTTTTCTAAAATTTTTTCTTATAAAATTTTAAATTAAAAAAACAGAAATTGAATTTGTTTTCAATAAGGCGCAATTGATTTTTTTTTTTTTTTTTTGTTTTAAATTTTATAAATTTTTTTAAATATAAAATTAGATTTGTTGTGCTTTTAAACAAAAAGTGCTAAACAACAATTTTTTAAATATAATTATGTTTTTTTTTTTTTAATTTTTTTTAACTTAAATATAAAATTATTTATAATACAATTTAAAACTGAAAATATGTTAAAATAAATTATTATACAATTATAAAGGGAAATTAAAAAAAATTATATACATTTATTTAAAGTTTTTTTTGGAAAAAAAATATTGGAATATTTTATTTTTTTGTTGTAGGAGAAGGATTTTGTATTTTTTTTTTATAAAAATGGAATGGTTTTTTTAAGGTTGTTTTTAAAATATAATGTTGAACTTGGCTTGGGGGATTTATTGTTTTTATTTTTGTTTGCATAGAAATAATTAAATATCACATTTAAATAATTTTTAAAAATATACTTTTTAAAAAAATAATTTTTTTTAATGGAATTTTTATTTTTTTATTTTTAGGTAAGACAAAATCATTCTTTTGTTGCTGTTCATATTAAATCGGTGTAAGTTGTTTGTCATTTTGTAATGTTTTTGGGAACTTAAATATTTTTAAATTTTATAAATTTATGGGATTTGACTTGTTTTAGCAAAATGAAGGTGGTGATTAGGGGAAATAATGTCAAACTGATTTTTCTTTAAAAAGATTAAAAATTTATAGCTTTTTTGGTACAAAATTGGGAGCTTTTTCTAAAAAGTTCTTCTACTTTCGGAATTGGTGTTGTGGAAGCATTATAGAGTCTATGTTTAATTTACAGAGAGTTCTCAAATCAGATATTTCTTTAGAGATATTGATTTTATTTGAAACTTGTTTTGGGGAATATTTAGAGAATCTCGCGAACAATTCTAGAACTAGTTTGTCAAGATTGGAAGCAATTTTACAGTTTTGCTTGGCCTTGAGTCCAATGATTTAAGTTCAAAAAAATTTATTTTCGGAATTGATGCTGTGGAAGCATTATAGAGTCTATGTTCAATCTACAGAGAGTTCTGAAATCAAACCATTCCTCAGTAATAATGGTTTTATTTGAAACTTCTTTTTGGGGAATATTTGCTGGATCTATTTTCGATCTTAAGTCAGTGATAATGGTTAGAGAATCTTATGAACAATTCTAAAACTAGTTGTTTTTGGAACGACTTTGATTTTGTGAAAGCGTTCGATCAACAAAAAGTTCTGAAATCAGATCTTTCTTCATTGATAATGGTTTCGAATTAAAGACTTGGTTTTCAGGGAATATTTAGAGAATCTTACGAACAATTCTAGAACTAGTTCTTTGTCAAGATTGAAATCAATTTTACAGTTTTACTTGGCCTTCATACTAATCTACAGAGAGTTCTATAAACAGTGATAATGGTTTCGAATTGAGACTTGTTTTAGGGAATATTTAGAGTATCTCACGAACAATTCTAGAACTAGTTCTTTTTGCCATGACTTTGGTTTTGTTAATTTGAGGCTAATAATTTCAGTTCAATAATATTCCTATCGGAATTGGTGCTGTGTGGATGAAACTAGTTTTGAAGAATATTTAGAGAATCTCACGAACAATTCTAGAACTAGTTAATTTTGATTTTGTCAAGATTGGAATTAGTTAGTTAGTCACCTATAGAAGTTATGTATATAGAACCAATATATGAATAATTAGTTCCAGGAAAACTCTTTCAAAAGTACTTTAGAATCGTAATAATGTTTAGGAGAACTAGTTCTTGCTCTCCAAGGTTGGTAATCGAGAACAGAACCACTTCATATTCTGTTTGCACTTGTTCTAGAACTAGATCAAATTCAAAAGTTGAGTTAAAGAATTTTTTTGAAGATAATCCCAGCAAAAACATGGTAATGAATTGTACTTATTCAACAACTTACTTTTCAATGATCACTACATACCGTCTGCATTACTCATAAGGAGTCTAGTAAAGGTTCCTTAACTAATACTTTAAAAGAAGTTTATAATCAGAAGAAAGTTGAAGAGAACTAGTTTGAAAAGTAATGGCACTAAATACAAAATTACTCTTCATCAGTTTGAATTCGTTCGGTTTGAACTCGTTCTAGAATAAACTCAAAAATTAAGTTAAATAATTTTTATCAAGATATTGTTTAGAACGAAAATAAATAGGTTCAAAGAATATGATCCTAGCAATCTATTAAGAAATACTTTAACTTCAAAGTAATATTCCGGAGAACTAGTTCTAGAAGTAATAGTACACTGTTTAAACTGCACTTGAACTAATTCTGTTTGTATTCATTCTTAACAATCAAAATAATATTCCGTAGAGCTAGTTCTAGAAGCAATGGCGACTAGCAGCAAGTGTGTTATTTAAACTGAACATAAACTTATTCTGTTTCTATTTATTCTTGTTCCTTAAGCAACACTTTAAAAGAACTTTAAAGCCAGAATAATGTTCATGAGAACTACTTTGAGAAATAATCGCGACAAGATTACTCTTCATGATTTCGAAATATGGTTCCGATTGCACTTGCTCTAGAACTAATTCAAAAATTGAGCTGAAGATTTATTTTTATTTAGTTTTAGTTCTAGGGAATCCTTAGAAGACAAACTTTAAGAAATACTTTAACACTTCAAAGTAATATTCCGGAGAACTAGTTTTAGTAGTAATGTTGCTGCGCAGTTTGAACTGAACTAGAACTGATACTGTTTGTATTCATTCTTTACAATCAAAATAATATTCCGGAGAGCTATAGTTCTAGAAGCAATGGCGACAATGACAATGGCAAGTGTAAGAAAAAAAGTTCCTTAAGCAACACTTTAAAAGAACTTTAAAGCCACGATAATGTTCAAGAGAACTAGTTCGAGAAATAATCGCGAAGAGACTACTCTTTATGATTTCGAAATGGTTCCTATTGCACATGTTCTAGAACTAATTCAAAAATTTTATTTAGTTTTAGTTCTAGGCAATCTTTCAGAATATGTACAACTTTATACGAACAGTTTAAGAACTAGTTCTTTTTCCAGTAACTTTAAAATTATCAAGATTGTGAAGAAATATTGCAAAATACTTGAAGAACTCTTCGCTAAAAACTAATAAAGAACCAGTATATAACTAGTATCAAGTTTAGGTTCCTAGTAAACTCTCTAAAAGTACTTGCGAACTGAATTTGAACTAGTTCTGTTTGTATTCATTCTTGAAAATGTTATTTTGAAAACAATGTTAAAGTTTTTCAGCAAAATTATTAATTTTTTGATTTAAATTTTATAATTTTTGTTAAAGCCTAGTTAAGAAGAATTTTTATATAGATTTTTTTCTAAAAGTTAATTTTAAATTTTTAACATTTTTCTAAAATTACTACAATTTAAAAAAAATTATTAAAATTTTTATGAGTTTTAGAAACAGTTTTGGAACAACAATTTGGATTCAGTTGTCTTTAAAAGTGGGTTTTTAATAATTTAAATTTTTTTTAAATTTTAAATTTTTATAAATTTAAATTCAAAACGAGTTTGACATTATTCCATGGGTAAGAATAGGGCATATCACAGATTATCATATTTACAATGAAATTAAATGTTACATTTTTAAAAGTTTAAAAAAAGTCTAGGAACTTTTTTTAATAAAAAAAACAGTTTCCTTTAGCAAAAGTATAAATTTTTTTTAAGTTTAAAGTTTCTTCGCTTTATTAAGAAATCGGTGATATGCCTTATTATTGGTTTAGATTTAACGGTTTAATTTTAATTAAAATTTTAAAAAATTATTACGAAAAAATATAATTACAAAAAAAAAATACACTTTTAGTTTTGGTAAAAATTTAATTTTGTATATACAAAGTAAGCGTTTCAAGTTTGGGGGGGTTTTATCGTTTATAATTATAAATTTTTATATAATTTTAGAAAAAGATTTTATATAAAAAATTAAAAAAAAATTATTTTCTAACTTTTTATATAAAATCTTCTTTTTTTAAAGACATTTTTATAGCAAAAATATTTAGTTAAATTTGCTTTAAAACTTAAAAGCCTTGTTTTTTTAAATTTATATTATTTTTTTCAAATACAACAACAATAAGTTTTGAAGCTTAGAGAAAAAGTTTGGGGTTTTGTTTTTTGTTTTTTTTAGCTTAGATGGGTTTAATTCGTTTTTGTTTTTGTTTTCCAGCTTCTTTATATTTAATATCAATATAATACATTTATAGATTTATATAGTTTTACTTTTTAAAGGAAATTATTATAAATATTACAAAGTTTTATAGTTCATAAATAAATATTTTACATTTTCTTTTAAATAACATGTAAAAATGTGCGTAAAAAGCTTTTACTTTAATTATAAATTTTTAATTTTTTTTTTTTTGTATAACTAAATATTTAGTATCAAAATAGCTAAATCATCTATAACAAACGAAAAAAAAAAATTCTTTAAAACTAAATTTTATTTCACAGAAATTTAACCAACAAAAAGACCCTAAAAACTTAAAATAATTAAATTTCTCTTTCTTTTTGTCATTTTAAAGTAAACTGGTTTGTTTGTTATATTTTTTTTTTTTTAATAGGAATTGTTTTTAGTTTTTTTTTTCTGCCAAAAATTAAATTCTTTTCTAAAAAAAAGAATTTTTTAATTCACATAGAACAAACACTTGCTAAACTATTTAGTTTAATTTATTTCAATTTTGTGCTTAATTTTTCTGTATAATTTTCTTTTTTTATACATTTAAAAAAAATTTCCTTTTTAATTTATCTGGTTTTGCAAAACATCACATTTTCTTGTCTGTTTTCTTTTCTTTTACAATTCATTGTTTTTTCGTTTAAATTTTAGGTTTTTCTCTTTAATATAAATTAATTCAATTTATCACTAATTATTTATTAATGTTTGTATGTTTTTTTATAATAATTATGTTTTTAATGTTTAATTTTTTTATTATTATTTTTTATATATAATTAAATATATAAAATATATGTAGTATGTATAAAGATAATTGATGATTAGACTTACATGACTAATGGTATGGTTTTAAGTGTTCAACATAGTTTTCTGGTATAAGTCCTGTTTTACCATTTAATGTGCCTTGCAACCAGCCAGGTTCATGTGAAAAACCAACTAGAAATGGGAACAAAATTATAAAATGTTAGTAAAAATTTTATTTGACTTAATTTTGAATAATGTAACTAGTTCGGGAACAAGTGCAAAAGGAAACACTTCAGTTTCCGAAAATAGGCCGCTAGGAAGTAGTCTAGGTACCAATTCGTTAGCAATTTTTGAATTTTGACCTAATTTTGATCATCGGCAATCAATTTATGGAGCGGTTTCTGAACAAATGATATTCTAAAGGTAGTTCTTCTTCTTTAGATCAGTTCTAGAGTTAGTGTTTCCCAGTGGAGAGTCTTTATCATTTATTGTCACTGTTCTATCAGCTATCTATCTATCTATCTATCTATCTATCTATCTATCTACCTATCTATCTATCTATCTATCTATCTATCTATCTATCTATCTATCTATCTATCTATCTATCTATCTATCTATCTATCTATCTATCTATCTATCTATCTATCTATCTATCTATCTATCTATCTATCTATCTATCTATCTATCTATCTATCTATCTATCTATCTATCTATCTATCTATCTATCTATCTATCTATCTATCTATCTATCTATCTATCTATCTATCTATCTATCTATCTATCTATCTATCTATCTATCTATCTATCTATCTATCTATCTATCTATCTATCTATCTATCTATCTATCTATCTATCTATCTATCTATCTATCTATCTATCTATCTATCTATCTATCTATCTATCTATCTATCTATCTATCTATCTATCTATCTATCTATCTATCTATCTATCTATCTATCTATCTATCTATCTATCTATCTATCTATCTATCTATCTATCTATCTATCTATCTATCTATCTATGTTATTTAACAACTTACCATTTGTTATAATTTGATTTGGTTCAAATGATAGTTCACCTTCGCTCTCGCCCAAACAAGCGTAAAGAGTACGTACTCGCCTAAAGACACAACAAAATAAAAAATATAATAATTTCAGTTCCCACTCACTTCAAAATTCTTTACTTACGCTGTGCCAGCTTCTAAATCCCTTTTATTTGCGTAACATCTTTATTGCGATGCACCTTTTGCGGTGTCGTACCATACTCATTTGGTGAACTACCCGTACTGCCCACTATCATAGAAGGAGCAGCCGTTGCGGTAACCACATCATCCACCTGAGAACCCAACAGTGTGGACAACGATGTAGCTTGTGAGGAATGTGGCACATAATCAATAGAACCGCGGGCGGATAATAAACGACCGCTACCGCCTCCTCCGCCCCCACCATTCGTCGATGACAGAGAATCACAAACGCTTTCGTTGGAACTAGATGTTGAGGCAGCAGCACCCGAGGGATAATGTTTATTAGAGGCATATGGCAGATGATTGCTGCGCTGCAGCTGGACTGGTGGATGTTGCTGGGGCCCACTTCCAGTACCATATAGGGCTTCCTTGCGCATGGCCAATGTGGGTGGTGAGACATTATTTAAACTAATGCGATTGCCGGAGGTATTCGTACTGTAAATGGACGTAGAGGCCGGTGTGGCTGTGGCCATTAGATAATCATGCCTTAAATTGGTGGCATTAGCCGGTGTAGCATGATGAGCCGTTAGGCCACCATTGGTGTTGGCGGTTAAAATGCCATAGACGGCCTCGTTGGCATTATTGCGGCGCATACTGATGTCGCTCTGCGACATTGAATGCAAATTCTTAACACTGCCCATATTTACACTCATACCCAGACTTTTGGGACCACTGCCACCATTTGTGGCATGGGCAGCCAGCAGACCACCATTAGTACCATTTGAAGTGATAACCCCAGAGTTGCCACCGCTGCTCCCGCCACCACTTCCACCCCCGCCGCTCGTACCATAAATCATGCCATTAGGAATGTTCTGTAAACTCGAAGACATGGGAGAATCGGTAAAATTAGATTTTGTCACTACACGGTAGACTTGTTGTGGAGAATACATGGAATTGCGACCCACCGAACCACCACCACCGCCCGCTGACAGTGATTTATTGGCTTGACTGGCACGTGGTACCCTTACCGGAGGACTGCTCGAATTCGACTGGATGTGAGCGCCCACCGCACTGGGATCATTCTTGAAGATGCGTTCATAGTTTTCGATAAGAATATTAATAACAATATTGTTAAACTTAATATCCAATATGGCAGCTACTGTTTCCTCTTGAGGCCTCAAGAGAGTGGGACCAAATACCACACCCAAATTGAAGACAGACATTTTGTTTTTCTCGAATTTACGAGAGACTCTGTAGAAGAACGAAATAAAAGATATTAAGAGGCTATAGCTATGTTAAAAGAAAACCTTGTACTTACTCGGTCAAATGTCTGATGACCATGTCAAGCATTTCGAAATTTGATTGAGGCAATTTATAAACCAACTTATGAACTTCATGAACACGTTGATTTAGATTTTCTTGTTCTAGAAAAAATAACAACGTAATTGAGATTCCGTTTAAACTATATATAAAGCTAATATGACCACTTACTGGCTGCCTCTATAAAACCACTGTGATAGCGATAAGTCATTAGCGGTTCATTTAGATTACGCAAATATGTTTTAAGAGCACTGGCTATAGTATTGCTCTCCATGAGATCCCTATATTGTTCCTCGTTGAAAACACTTTCAGCCTTTTTGCGATCCATGCCCAAAGCTAAAAGTTTCGATATTTTGGTGCCCACACCACTTTTACGATAAATGCCCTCATCTTCTAGACCACGATTTTCCAAAGTCTCAATACATTTGCGCACAAAAGCAAAACCGGTCTCATCCAATTGATATTCCTCACCCGCCTTAACCTTACCGGGGGCCAAATAGGTCTAAACATGATAAAACACATATGAAATTTGTATTCTTTTGATACTGTAAGTAAAATCCACCTACCGGCTCTGTACCATCCATGGCGTTAATCCACGCTCTACGATCCTCTTCACTTAAGGCCTGAAATGTATAAACAATACCCGGTTTCTCTTTGAATGTCAAATCGAAACAAAATCTCTTCTCAAACTCAGAAGCGCGTCTTTGGCACGATACTAAAGTCAGTTTCTCTTCTTCGCGCTGTTCGGGTCTAGTGAAACTGTGATTCATTTGATTGAACTGGAGCATTGTAAACTCCTTTTTCTGTTTCTTGTATGTGCAATAGTATTTTGTCCATGTTGCCTTAAAGGGTTCTAAAAGAGAGATTTTCAAAAGAGAACCTAAATTATGGGTGTTAATATCAGTTTTTTAACACTCAAAATTAAAAATAAAATGGCGGTTTATTGTGTATGTATTTACAAAAGTTTTAATGGACGTGTGTTTAATTAAATATTTACATTGAAATGATAATGAATTTAATAAGGACGGGAAGTTGTATGACTTTGTTTATATAAATTTTTGTATGTCCTTTTTTTGAAAGGATTTAAGGATAACATTTGTAGGTACATACATACTTCTAATAAGATTTATTAATATAAACACTTACTTTTTTCCATCAAAAACAAATAGCCACGTTTGGTGTACTTTTCTTCTGGCTTCTAGAAAGAGAGGAAGAGAAAGAGAGGTGTAAAATAGTTGGGAATATTATAGTAAAATCTTAGGAATATATTAGAATTTTGTTTGATATATAGCAAGGAAATTAAATTCGAACTTAGTTAATTGCTATAAGAATCTTTCGGAACCTGAGGCTTATGTTTGGAGACTTAAACTTGGTTTAAACGAGTTTAGTTAAACCCGGAAAATTAAAGTTTAAGTTAGATATTTTAAGGAAAATACCAACAAAATAAAAAACTATACTTATTTCATGCATTTTGAACTATTTTAGAAACTTGTAATTAATTTTGGAGTCTTAAACTTGATTTAACTGAGCATAATTCCAAACGTTTATTAAAAGGAACTTTTAGCTTAGAATTTTGTATAAAATATGACAATAAAATTAAAATCTACACAATTTTCTGACTATTGGAACATTATGGAATCAGGAAAATGATTTTAAAGTCTTAAACTTGGTTTAAGCAAGTTTAGCTAAACTCGCAAAAATAAAGTTTAGTGAAAACGAAAGCTTCTAAACAATGTTTAGACGAAAGTTTTATGATTTTCTTGACAAAATATTAAAAATGTTGCCATATTTTTTGTTAATAATTTACAAATTTATTTAATCTCGGATTAACTGTGATTATTTTTAACAAAATAATTAATATTTTGTTAAAACTAATAGTTTAAACAACAATTAGTTAAAAAAGTTGTTCATTTGCCTGCTTAACGTTTTTGGCGTTGCCATGTTTTTCCAAAAATTTAGAAATTCGTTTAAAGTATGGCAACAATAAATAAAATATAACTTCTTTTGGGCAAATTGAACAATTTTTTAACCGAAAATTTGATTTTGAAATCTTAAACTTCAAATAACCGAGATTAGTTAAACTTTGAAAAACAAAGTTTAGTTAAACTTGGCACTGTTATATCACATTTAGTCAAGAATGTTCATAATTCCAGCTAAAGATTTTTTAGTGCTGCCATATTTAAAGCAGAAATATTACAAAAAATTTATTTTACATTTAGCAATAATGTAATAAAATTTAACTTTATTTAACAAAGATTAGTTAAACTTCAAAAATACAAGTTTAGATAATTTTTATCTTTTAAATAATAGTTTATTAAAATTCTTATTAAGATTCTTTAGCTGATCCTCTATTTTTAGCCGAAAAGTTAAAATTTATTTTATATTTTTGTTTGTTCTACTTACTGTTCGCTTTTCCATATATTTCAATTTAAGTTCAGTGACTTTCTCTCGGGTACCTTCAAAATTTTCACGAGTCTAAAATTGTAAACAAAATTAATAAAAATAATTCCATTTCGCAACTACAGCTACTTGTTTCACCACGACTACTTACCTTTTGCACTTTATGCCTTAAGTCCTGTAAATAATCCTTATTATCCTCAGCCTGTTCGTGGGCCGTATGATAAAACACTAACCAGCTCGATATAAAGGCCAATAAGATTTCAACAAATTCAAATTTAATGCGTTCTTGTACCTCTTGTATACGCAGTACATAACTTAATGACTCCTGGACATATTCACGTTCGTGCATGCCTAAACTGGCATCGGC